AGTGGAGGATGACAGCAACTCTTTCCATTGTGGAAAAGTTGGCTCCATGCTCCGTCCGAGCGTGGCGGTGCCGGGGGCCCCTCCCTGGCTGCCCGCAGACGGCAGAAGCGCGCAGGGCTGTGTGTTATACGCCTGTGTGTTTTTCCTTTGTTTTGGAAAAGCGTGCTCCCCGGGGTCGGCAGGGAACACGTGTGACTCACGGGCCTGCCCGAGCCGGCGAGTGCTGAGTTTCGAGCCCCATCTGCCACCCTGTAAAGTGCTGTCTATACCTTTGATGCTCTGGAAGAGGAACGTGCTAGCTGCTTATCGCATGTGTAGCTGCTGAGGTGTGTCCTGCGGGCGGCTTCACCGTCCGAGGTGACACGTTCCTTCAGGGCAGGACGGTGCTGAGCCCTTCCTCCTGCCCCACGTGAGGACACGGCATGTGGACATCTGAGACACGATAGAAAGCAGGGCCCGCAGCTCCACCGTATGGCCGGACCCCCGTATCCCCAGAGCTGTCCTGGGGTACCTCCCGCCCTTGGCCTTTCCCCCTTTCTCTCCCTCCTCTCCCCCAGACGCCTCAGACTCCACACATTTCTCTGGACAGCGGGGTGGGGAGCTGAGGGCTGAACCCACACCCGGAGACCGCCCGGGGTGGGGCGTGCTGGGGGCTGGAGAGGGCTCTGCCCGGAAGGAGTCGGGCAGGCCGTGCTTGGTGGTTGCGCAGGTGAGTGATGTCACTCAGGTATCTGACTCTCCCAGCCTCGGGGTAGTTTGCAGCAGTGGCAGGGGGCCTGACGCCAGCCTCGCAAGTCATGTCCGACAGGCGCTTGTAGTTGGAACCGCAGAGAATGGGGTCCAGAGGGGAGAAGCACATCTGGCCGCAGGGGTGCCGCCTGAGCCTTCAGATCTCACCCCTGGGCCCCGCTGGGGAGGCTGCGTGGCGATCGGGGGACAGGGCCTGCTTCTGGCTCCCGCGGGCGCCACTCTCCTCCAGCCGGCGAGGAGAGAAGGGAGAGACGCAGGCAGTGGGCCCAGCCCCAGTCTGGTCCACCCCGGGTTCGCTGCAAAGGACCAGTTGAGTTCCAGACTCAGCTGGGGAGGACAAAAAGAGGTTAGGACCCCCTGCCTTCCCTTGACGGGGTGTTGCTGCTGCCCCGTGATGTAGGGTGACACCGTGACCCTCCACCCCTGTGAAGAGCAGGCCCACGGCCACGCCCACACCTTCAGGGGCTGGAGGTGCGTGAGGGTCTGGGCCCGCGGGCCCGGGGGTCAAGCCTGAGATCCTGACCCCAGGATGCACAGCCGCCCCGAGCAACTGTGGTCTGAGAGGGAGGGCTTGTGGCCCAGACGTCCACACAGGCCTGCGTCACTTTGCTAAGCGCTTACATTCAGTGTTTGTCTGTAGAACGTGTACAGAATTATTCAAGATTTGGTCTCTGTTCATGTGACTTGAAGGACGTGTACTCCTAATGGCACCTTTTTTTTTCTGGTCTGGATAATTTCTTTTTTTAAAAAAAATATTTTATTTTTAGAGCATCTTTAGGTTTGCAGCTAAATTAGGTGGACGGGGTGGGCCTCTTGTATTCCCCCTGCACCCCCCACGCATGCCCCCCACTCTCTACATCCCAGATCAGATGTTACAACCGATGGACCTCCATGGATACGTCACCCGAAGTCCCATTTTACCTTGGGGTTCGCTCCCGGTGCACGACATTCTGCAGGTTTGGACGAATGTAACATGACGTGTGCCCACCATTATCGTGTCACATCGAGTCGTTTCACTGCCCTAAAACCCTCTATGCCCCACCCGTTCACCCCTCCCTCTTCCCAGCTCCCGACACTGATCTGTCACTGTCTCTGTCGTTTCGTCTTTTCCAGAATGTCCTAGAGGTAGAACCACGCAATATGCCCCCTTTCAGACGGGCTTCTCTCAGTAACACGCACCTAAGCTTCCCCCACGTCGTCTCACGGCTTGCTGGCTCGTTTCTTTTTAGTGCTGAACAATATCCCGTTGTCTGGATGAACCACAGTTCATCCACTTACCAAGGACGTCTTGGTTGCTTCTAAGTTTTGGCATTTAGGTATGAAGCTGCTATAAACACCTGCGGGCAGGTTTTTGCGTGGACTTGTTTTCAGCTCCTGCGGGTAAACATCAGAGAGCGTGACTGCTGCGTCACGCGGTAGATTTGTAGTTTGGAAAGAAACCGCCCGACGGTCTTCCGAGTCGCTGCGCCATTTTGCATTCCCACCAGCAATGGATGAGTTTCCGCTGCTCCACATCTTCACCAGCCTTTGTCCCCCCAGTGTTCTGGATTTCGACCTTCTAATACATGGTGTCTCGTTGCTTTCGTTTGCATTTTGCTAATGACATATGATGTGGAGCATCTTTTCATATGCTTAATTCGCCATCTGAATGTCTTTTTTGGTGAGATATCTGGTCAAGTCTTTTACCCATATTCAAATTGGTTTGTTCATTTCCTCCTTGAGTTTTAAGGTTTTTCTTTGCCTATTTTAGACACTAATCCTTTATCAGATGTGTCTTTTACAAATATTTTCTAGTCTATGGAGTCTGGGTCTTCTCATTCTCTTCAGATAATTTTTAAAATACTTTTCTGAATTTTCCAAATTTTCCATGATGAAAATGGTTTTCAGCATCAGAAAGTTATCTCGAAAGCTCTAACGTTTTACTTTGCTGTTTTATCACGGGCTAATTTCTGCATTAGGAAGACTGTCCTGTGGAGGGCAGACTGGGGAGTGGTGAGAGCGAGGTGTGGGGGGCCGCCGATGCTGTTCTTTGGACCAGAGCTCCTGCTGCTAATACTAACTTGGAATAATGAAGGTGGCGGGCAGTGGTAAGATTCTGAATTTATAGCCGGAGCAGTTGTGGGAGAGCGAGTCAGAGGAATCGGATTGGATGGGTGGTCACGGCATTTACCGAGATGGGGAGATTAGGGGAGGAGAGAATTAGGGTCGGAGAAGCCATAGTTCTCTTGAGTCGACTGTGAGATATGCTAGGCTTCCTAGTGGGCATGTCAGGTAGGCTGCTGGGTGGTGAGTCTGGCGCTCAGGGTCGGGGGAGGCCTGGAGATGAAGTCTGGGAGTTGCTGGGTGTTGGTGATGTTTAAGTCACAGGGAGGGAGAGTTCCCGGGAGCATAGAAGAGGTCTGAGGACGCAGCCCTGAAGCTTTCCAACATGTAGCGGTCTGGAGAGGACTCGAGAAGATGCTAGGAAGGCGGGGGACAAGGAGACCGTTGGGACAGGAGCTGGAGGTGACGGTGATTCCAAAAGGGAGCACAAGCTGCTGGGAGATGGAAGCTGGGGGTCCCGGCAGGCGTGGGCCCCTGGAGGTGGGGGACACAGTGGTCGCTCTTCTTGGAGGAAGCCGACGAGTTACGGTGCAGAACGAGCTGGGGCTCAAGACGCCTGGGCCACGGTGAAGGACACAGGTCTCCCCCCGGAGGCTGACTCCTGAATGGTGGTGGCCTGGGGCGGGGCTGGGGGGCTTCTGGGGAGCTGGACACACACATACAGGACTGGTACGCTGCTGCGTCATGTCAGTTTTGCCACGCACCAGATGATGCTCTTGGGCGAGTCACTTGGGCGAGTTTGTCACTTTCCCAAGCCTCGTCTGGTGAGGAGGGCATCAGGCTAAGAGCTCGGGCGCACCCTGACGCCCGGTCCCTGCTGGCCTGGCTGGGAGTGGGAGGGAAAAGGAAACCCTCTCCCCTCCCCCAATGGCAGCTACGGAGAAATCGGAATTCTCGGGCAAGTACTCAGGATTCTTCGCACACAGCTAATTGTGCCTTACTTTCTGGTCTACTCAGCAGCACGAACCGTATCAGACGTATCAGACATTACAGCGCTGGCTCCTTTCTCGAGAGGAAGGGATGCAGCTAACAAACTGGCCCTTGCCGGGGTCCTCGGGACCCAGCTGCATGCAGCCGCTTCAGGGGGACAGCTGGACATGCACCTCTCGCTGCCTCAGCTAACACCGAGTGTGGTTCCACGCTTGTGTCGGAGAGAATGGGCTGGACGGGGAGGGACACAGGGAAATGGAAGGTGGGCGGGGGGAAGGTCGTGTGAATTAAACAGGAGCCCAGACTGGTCTGGTACGACGATCCTGCCGTAACAGAGGGGATACGAGTGTCAAATTTGGGCCAAAGGTTTTGAGTTTCTGTGAGACGGTAGCAGAGGCGGCTGTTTGATAATGTTCTGCCTTTACTTAGACAAGTGAAGGCTGGGGGCTCAGAGGGCGTTGACAGGTTGAACTGGAAACTTACTAGATACCAGGAATTCTTTAAGTCTTTTCCTTTTAAGTGAAAAATTTCAAACATATACACAAAGATATGCAAAGAGTGAAACAGATTCTCAGCATCTCTCATCCAGCTTCGGTCATTCTCAGCTTATGGTCAATCTTGTCTCATTTTTATCATTTTCCTGCTCCGTAACTTTGAAGGAAATCCCAGACGGCATACACGTCATACAATTTGATCGATAAATATGTCAGCATGTGTCTTTAAGGGGACTGTAATCATAGTACTACTGTTAAATGTAAAAACATAATAATGATTGGACTTCAAATGTCCAGTTGACACTGGATATTTCTGATCGTCTTATTAAAAGTTTGCTCAATTTAGAATCCAATTAAGTCCACACAATGCAAGTGCTTGATGTCTCTTCAGTCTAGGTTAAGAAGCTGAGACACGTAAATTAAAATCTGAAATTAATCAAATTAATGATGCGTTGTTATTAGCCTATCATAAATACAGTGGCCAGATGTTCAGTTGTCTTGAAGCCAACTGCTGTTTCTGATTACACTGACTTCTAAATGGTTTAATAAGATGCAGAAAGCGACCTAAGTGAATCTTTCTTATTCATCAGTGAATTTCAAAGGATTAAGTATGTATGATTTTTTAAAACTTCTGTGAGGCTTGCCATCACCTCCTTTGTCATTCCAACACATTCTGGCAAACATCCCCCAAACATCCATCAGCCAAGAAAGCTTTAAGGGTGATTATGTGTGTGCTTTTTTCTTTTTTTTTAATTGTATAATTCATTTATACAGAGAAATCATTTGGATGGATCTATTTACAGTCTTTTTCAATTTTCATTCCACTGGCAAAATATATAGTTCACGTAATTGTCAACATTTACTTGAACTGATCACCACTATAATCTGCCAGGACACAGGGCTTTTCCTCCTCACCCCTAAAGACTACGACCTCATGTGAACAGAAACACTTTATAGTAAATGACTCATCGGTCTTTTTTTCCCTGTTATGAATCTGATACCGTCAAATTTTCAACATACCTCATTGCTTCTTTTCAAACCCATTATTTGCAGGTATTGTAAACCAAGGCAAATAAGGTCCACTTCCCCCAACCTTCTACAACTTACTACACACCCTCGAGTTTAGTTTTTACTATCTCCTTCCACATTCTGGCACAACCAGACATTTTTACTTTAAGACAAAACTACTCTCTTTTTCCTATTTTTTTTTTTTCTTTTTTTTTACATATCACCAGTCAACGGCCTCCCTCTTGCTTGTCGAACACTAAAACTTTCAACAAAATCCTTAACGTCGTTTTCTTTCAGCAGTCCAGAGATACCGGGTCATTTCATGTGTGTTTACCACTCTGAAATGCTACACTTTAAAAATGGCAATTTTCTTAATTGGCTCAAAAACAGTATGGCTTGGTTTCACTTGGTAAAGTTAATATGATTTAAAAAACATATATTTATATATATATATACATACAAACGCACACCCATTTTTAATCAAGAAAAATACTTTAAAGATGTGCCGATTTGAAAAGGCATCAAAGTAAAAAAATAAAAGCAAATACTAAAAACTGTAAAAAAAAAAAAAATTAAATAACTGGCAGGTTAAATGACTGAGAAATGAGGACTGAGCAGTGAAAAACAAATATAAAGTGTTCCAGTTGACAAAATGGGAAACCTATTTATGTTTTTGCTTTGTTTTCCAAGGAACTTATGTTTTGATAAAAATTCTGAAATATTACAAGTATTCCACATTTTAGGTGCCAATGTTAAAATTTCAAATTCTGCACACAAAGTTTATCAAAGAAACACTGGTAAAATCCCAGTATTTGCAATACTAAGTTTTGGCAAATATTGTAAATATCACGGTTGGTTGGTACTGAAAAGTCACGAATGCAGAATGAAGAGAAAACCTATTTGATTTGATTAAAAACACCAGGCTTGAATGTTCTAAATCTGAGAAAATATCTAAAAAAAAAAATTGCATTTTAACAGTAACCTGTATATATACCCTTAGCTGCCATTAAAAAAAAAAGAGAGAAAAAGGAAAAACCACCCAAACCAACCCAAAACACAGGAAGTGTTAAGACTGGTACTAAGCAACCCTGCGGCGCGCCCACGCTCGCCAGGCGAGAAAGCAGACGGGGCGCGTTTAGGCGCCTTCACACCACGGTCTCCTTCCGCCGGCCGCCGGGCTCGGCTTTGCCCCTCGCCTTCCGGGGGCCCGACTGCGTCCGCGGCGCTCTGACTCTCTTCACGCCGTCTGCTGCGTGCGCCGGGGAGCCGCGCTCTGAAGCGTCCCCACCGACTCCGACCTGGGGGGCGCTGGGCGTGGTGGACGCCCTCCTCTGGGGCCCGGCGCCCCCGGCGGAGGGGCTGCCCCCCTCCCACTCCTCGTGCAGCTCCGGCAGACCCTGCAGCCCGGCCGGCCCTGCGGCCGGCTGGAAAGGGGCGATGGCGGCGCGAAGGCAGTTGCACCACTGCTGCTTGTGGAACGCATCATTGGCTTGCAGAGTGTGAGCCTGGCCCGGAGCGGGGTCTTGGAAGCGAACTCTAAAGATATTTTTAGCTAGAGAAATAAAAATGGAGAGAAAAGGAAAGCTAACTTAAAAAAGGCTTATTTTAGGCTAAGAGGGTCCTACATCTTAACGGGGTGCTGGTATTTACACGACACGCACTTCTATTAGGTAGAGACCTGAAACGAAGCCTACTCGGGACTTGTCAGAAACAGCTGCTGCTGTCAGAGCCGTGCAGCGCCTGACAGCCCAGTGAGAGCAACAGGCACGGGACCAGGGGACCCACGTCATTTTTAATTCTTCGTGAGAATTCTTAGACTAAAATGAAATTCGCTCAGGTTCTGAGCAATGTCTACGTAAACTGCTTTAAAACTCGTGGACTTACCTTTATCTGAGTTGCCGAAAGCCCCGCGAAAGGACCCTCCCATCCTCACGTCTCCGTCCTGCAGGTCTTCTAGGACCAGCTCGCGGACCGGGATTGGCTGCCGGTACACCTGGTAGGAGTGACGCTCGTTTCGTGTAACAGGCCGGGTCAGAACCAAGATGTCTTGAAACAGGAAAATGTAAAGTTTCTGGAGAAACAGGAAACAAAGCTTCCTAAGTATGGAACTTTGTGACTTTAGGGCACCCAAATCCATTGCTAAAGTAACTTGATCTGACATGACTGATTTCATACATCTGTTTGCTGAAAGCCCCTTACAAGTGACCCCACAGGGACGGTGACTCCACGGCAGGGCAGGCTCCACTTGGAGAGTGATGCTAACCTCAAACTGTGCAGACACGTGTACTGGCGTGTGACCCCAGACTAAGCAGCAGCTCTGTAAATGCTGCTCCCCAGAGCCTTGGCCATCGGTGTGACGTCACTGGCAACACCAGGACTGTCTACCAGCTTCCTAACAAGGATTAGAAAATGCAAGCTGGCAAAATGTTAATGGGTCTGTTTCATCCCACAGAGATTTAAACTTTTAAAAACATTAGGACTCACGGGAGAAATCAGAGATGTCAGATTTCAACTCTTCCCAAAGAGAACCTCGGCTTATAAATTGGGCTTCTGAAAAGCACATCATGAAACAAAAATGCCATCCACTCTTACACTTAGTTCTAGCAGGTATTTTTGTAATTAAGATTTGAAAAATAAGTTTGCTTTCATTCAATCTGCTGTAGAATTTGTCTAAAAACGACTTCCATCACTATACAGTAAACTGCAAAAAAATTTTTGAATGTTTTATTAAAATTATAAAATAATTTACTTAGAAAGGAACCCCTAGAAAAACAAGATGTATGCTTCAGAACTAAAAAAAAAAAGTATTACCGATTCTCCTGAGACATTTAAGTCATTCTGTAACGAGAGAATCCAAACGTTTGCTTTATCCAAGCTGATAACATAAAATAAAAACGAGTAACCTTCCTTCGTTAGGTGATGAATTTATTTTACAAGCCTGCTTCATAATTTGTGTTGGAAGATTAAACAGGGCTGGAAAGGAAAGTGAAACCTCACTTCGTGTTAGCACCGAGATACACTCACGTGTCCGTTTTTATTCCTCAGTTCCCCATGGCAGAGCAGTACTCTGCTTGCTTCAATTCGAGGATCCTTCTGCTTTTCATCCAGATACTCCAGTTTGTCAATGTAATATTGGCATTCGGATTCACCTTTCTTCAAGTTGATATCAGAGAGAACTCCTTGTATTATCAATACCTAAAAATTATCAAAAAATTGATGAAGCATTTTCAGTACATTAATTTATCCTACAGGGCTAAAACATCTCACTAAAATGACAGAATTACTGTAAACCTTGAAGGGATTCTAGAAATCAGTTAATTCAGTCAGTCCCTTCATTTCACAGATGGAGAAACAGCATCAAATTGAGAGATTTGCCCAAAGTCATACAGCTAGCCCGGGAAAGAGACCAGATTAGAATCCAGTCTACTGATTACAATACAAGTATGTGTCACATCTTTATTGTTTAGTGCACAGTACACTAACGTACAGAACACTTCACTACGCTGATTCAATATGCAAAAAATCTGAGTATGTCATTGTGCACTTTTCTAAAGCAAGCAAACATATAAATTTGCAGGGTAAGAATCATTCATTGGCCTACTTACGGCTTCCTCCAGAAGCTGAACATCAGGGTGGTCTTTCGGAGTGTGTCTAAGAATCTCCTTTAACAGTAAAGGATACTTGACTAGGCGACTTCGAGGAATATCCAGGAAGCTCCAAAGATCTAGTTTTCGACTGAAGGGAGACTCAAGACACCGCTGGAGGAAGTCTTGGACTCTGGGGTCCTGCTTCTTTTGATCAAGAAGAGCTTTGGCTGCCAGCTGGTTACTGCAGTAGCCTTTGTAGGCATTCAGACCTGGCAACTGGAGAGTAAGAACAGAAATAAGGGTGTAAGTTCCTGTTGCGATTTAGTCCCTTAGTAAGCCTGTGAACATGAAACAAAACTTACAGCTATTCTTGAAAGTTTTAATGAGCTGACATTTTCCTGCAGTTAACAGTGGGGGAAGGGTAGTGTTCTGGGCTGACATCAGAACCACCTTTCCCCATTTCCCTAATTTGGCTAAACCTAATCAAAGACTTGCGACTTCTACTTCCCCCAGCCTTGTTAGATGCTAGTCTTCTGTATTCCTGGGACACCTGTCACATCTGTCACCAACACTGAGCCTTCATATACTTGGCTATCCTCTCGCTAGATCATAAACGCGGACACTGTCTTTGATCACTGACCCTGCAGCGATGCCTTCTGGAGCAGAGCGCAGCATCTGGCAGGCACGCGGATGTTAACAGAAAGAATGAACGTAACTAATGGCATATACTGTCTGAATTGTGTCCAAGGAGGAACACAGTTTTAAAATAAATAAAACTGCATCATTCATGAAGTATTTTAAACAGAGATGGTAACTTCTTGTAGGTGCATAAATTTGTTCAATTATAATGCCTTGTTTATCTGTCTTTAGAATCCAGTTACTACAGCAAAGCGATCTGATACTCATCAAAAATGACAAGTATGGCAGACCTGTAAAAACTATCTAAACGAGTCGTGACGTACCCAGTTCACAAGAATGTGACCAATTTGCTCTACTGTTCCATCAGGCTTGGTAGCTTCTCCTATTCTTGCCAACAGATCTGAAGTGTAAAAAAGCAGGAACACCAATTATTGGTTTACTTTTTAAATAATTCAGCACTAAATTAGTAGTTTAGACTTAAAATTACTTGTATTACTGCTGTTCGGATACTAATAAAAATTAAGTAGCATAGTTTACCTTCATGCAGAGGTATGTAAGCGTCCAAATCACCAAATATTTGTGTTAGTTCCTCTTCTGACATAATAGACAACTTTAACATGGGGTCATGGTAGGCCTATCGGGGGGGAGAAACGTGTCACACAAAGAGACCAAGCAAATAAAACATGATGAGAGATCTGTACTTAAAGGCAAGCATGACTAACTATATAGAGCTAGCGTGGATTCTATGTTACACATAAAATTAAAGTGTATGTTAGTCCCCAAACAGACTCTCCTACGGATACTCACATCTGAAGAGATGTGTCTAACAAACCTCATCTAAAAAAAGTATTCGCCAGTAGATAGTTTCTAATTTTCTTCTTCTAAAGGTAAAAAAAACTATCCTTTAGAACTTGTGAAATGTCATTTTTAAAAACTAGGGCATATGATCAAAAGTTACTTACTGACCTTTCTTGCAAGCTTGAGATCCTCAATTAAATCCTGTTCACCTCGGGACATTTCATACATTGCCTAAAAAAATCCAGCAAACACCACAGGTCATTAGATACAACTGACACTTACCATTATTTAACTAATGTTTTGAACTGTGCCTTTTAAAGTGACTCAGTCTGAAATCTATAATTCAGAATGGAATCTCAAGCAAGAGGCTGCCAGCTTTCATGATTTTACCCTTTCATTAGAGTTGTTAAGTTTGCTGACTGCCACCTGTCACAAAGTGCTACTCAACACGTGTTAGGAGTTGCCACTCAAACACAAAAATGTAAGTTGAGTCTGCCACGGGCATTAATTTGCCAGTCTCCTGTCAAAACATATGTTCAAAGTACAGGGACTATTTTTTTGCGTGAAAGCCGACATGTATGGCCTTGCTGCTGGACGCCAACCAACCTCCTGACGCCGGATCTCCTTGGCAGTTAAAGACTCCTTCATAGTGACGTCTAACATCTCTGACCACAGGACACTGCTTCTCCTTTTGGCAGGTGTGGGGACTGTTGATCTGCTCGATGACTTCTGGGCAGAAGCTGGGGATCTGCTATCACCACGAAGGGTAAATGACTTAAAAGAGAAAACAGAGGTAAACAAAGGAGAAAAGATTTGGAAGATACAGTAATTATTCCTTCTTCTTAAAAAAATCAGACAAATTAAAAACAAAGTTCTGAGAATTTCTCGATGCATAAAACAGTCACTTATCTAAACTTTATCATTCTGAAATATTGATCAGCCAAAATTCCTTTTAGGGAATAAAAGCTATCCACGACCATGCTTTGATATAAGATGCGCATATAATCAAGTTAAGTATGTTCTGGTAACAATATTTCTTACCAGCATATTCCAAAAAGAAAATTTATGTGTAAGTACATTAAGGTAAACCTGTTTGTACAGCGCAAAGAAAAACACGAGCTTCAGGCTTCTGTCAAACGCCCCTCACTACACTGCTTGCTCCCCACCAGGCCCCACGTACCTGTATCGTCTGACCAAAGCGTCTGACTGCTCCATTTCTCACAGGAGAGATTAAATTGGCCAAGGATGTGACTCGAGCTAGAGGTCGAACTCTTTTATTGCTTGGCTCCTGTAAAAACAAAAACAGATTAGGTTAAAATACTGAGAACACTAATGAGCAGTAGTAATTTATTAAAGAAATAAGCGGTCTAAGAAAGGCCAAATATCTGAATATCACCGAGAACATAGTATTATCATTAAACATAAGAAAAACTAAAATCGACAAGCAAATTAGATTCTAAAATCCTGTAAAACTTTTTAGTATGATATAGAGTTCGACTTTTAAGAAACTACATTTTTATGAAAAATTTCAAACATACACAAAGGTGGAGAATAGCATAATGAACCCCAAGTACTTACCGCTCAGCTTCGACAGTTTTGGGGTGGCACTATGTTTCGTGCTCGCCCCACTGGAATATTTTAAAGCAGATCCTAGGCTTCACATCATTTCCCCCTTAAACGCTTCAGTGTGATGCGAGAACAGCCTTAAGTGAGTGTGTCTGATGATGGGATGGGCTGGCTCTGAAGCCGGTGAGGCCCCTGTCTTGGGAAGTGCTCAAGCAGAGGTGCTCGCTAGGGAACATCTTGGGCCTCAGTTTCCTCAATTGCAAAATGAGGTTAATAGGAGAACTCTTTTGAAGTTGTTATAAAGATTAAACAGGATATGTTTAAAGGTCTCAGAACAGTGCTTGCGACATCTTATTGTTTTAGCTATTACTAATATTTTTCTTAGAAATATTTCCACTTACCATGGAAATGTTGGGATTTATAAATAATTAGATCCCCTCTCACATATTTAATTTATTAACTTAAGGGGAAATTATTTACAAATTAATGAGAAATAGTTATCATTGTACATGTATTATTTTTAAAACTAATAATAATAGCATAGCAAATATATCACCTCTTATTCAAGGATCTCAAAACTTTACAAACTACATTTTCCTATGTTCCTGCTAGGAAAATGGAGGCATACCATTAGATGACTCACACAGCTACTGAAGTAAAGAAGGCCCGACCAAAAAACACGCCAATCCTTTATGATATCTATGGAGTATAATTATTTGTTTGTACTTGATGCCTTTGACAATTGTGGCATACTTGACAAAATAATTTTGATGAGAATTCAGAAAGATATATAATTAAAATTTTATATGAAAATTCGCACTTAAAGATAAAATTACCATTTAAAAGTGCTAGATGAAATATGTTTTTCTAAAAATTCTTTGATATGACTGAAGTCATATGAAAAAGAGGTATGGAAATTGAGTAAAAATAATCCATTTAGAGCAATTTAAGAATAAAATGGTAGAGTCAAAATTCTCTGCAGAGAAACTTAAATGATCTGAAAAGTCAAAGAAGCAACTGGACTTATTAAAGTTCTTGATGGGAGACACACAAATCAGAGAAAAACGAGACCCACTAACGCAGGGGGTTGCAAATAATCCACTCGAGCCCTCGAAGGCCTTAAGAGGTGGAGCTGTAGACCAGCCCTTCCCCCGCAAATAATTAACTCCAAAAGTAAAACTGAACATAAAGCCACTCAAGTGCAAATGTTAAATGAACTGAAAAAGAAACCTTTAAGATATGTAGCAAAATGGCACACTGTGTGGCCGAGGACATGTGTGAATGCCTTTACAATACACAAGTGTGCAAGACTGAAGTGACACATGCCTGGGCAGAAGGTCTGGCATGAGGCATTCCTTTCTGTTTAGTAAAGACAGTACAAAGAGTCTTCTGTTTGAATGGAGATAGAATTACCTCACGAAGTAAGTGTGCCAGCGCGAACCAGAAACAAAGCAGTCACCAGAAAGTTCTGTTCCACATTTTGGAAAGAGGTTATTTCCTCTTCCTTGGTCAAAGCATAACAAATTTAACTTCTTAGTAATCACAAAATCTTTAATTTCAATTAAAAAGTCTATGGAAAGGTACTCTTCCCAGTGAATTTGAAAGGCAGAGTTAGTTTAGCTGGGAGGAAAGTAATTTTTGTTATCTATTTTATTACATAAAATCAAATTAATAAAATTCTTTATAAGATCAGATACTGTACAACTACTGTTTTCCTGGTAACTCAAAATTATGTGATACTGAAACTTAAAACTACAGAATTTAGATTTAGATAGTTAAATGTAAACACATCTATAACATCTTTCTGAAACAACTGTGGATTTTGCTTATGGATTTTCTCTTTAGGGTGGCAGGATATTATGCGAAGCAGTATTTGGTGGTTAAATAATGTTCCTTAGTCCGTTAGAAACCCATCTACGATCTCACTTCTTCGCAAAGAATGTTAGTTTTAAGAGTTGATCTAATCTAAAAGGCCTTGGTAAGAGCGCCTGGCTGGCGCAGTCAGTGGAGCAGGAGACTCTTAAAGAGCCGTGTAAGAAAGCATGGCGCTGCGTCAGGACCCGGGGTGGCGGTGCCGGGGGTGGTG